TTTTTGCTTTTAAATTATTTATCCTGTAATTATGAAATATAATCATGCTGTTAAAGTCACCTTTAATCTCCAATATTTATAAATAATAACAACTCCTGCTTTATTTTTTTATTGCAGTGAAATACATATAACATAAACAACTTCTTTTTAATATAGAAATTGAGATAATGCTATACAGTCTCTATTTGAAAGTGGATAAAAACAAATATTTGCAGAATATTAGTAACCTACCCCAGATCTTAGGAAGACAATCAGATATTCTTGCTTCTCCAACCTGTTTTAAGTCGACAACTCACTTCATGCCAGTGGGATTTTAAAGAGTCTATATATTTAGGCTCTTTTCCTAGTTCAAATATCCAGTTTGCTTGAAATATGCTAAACTTGCTGACATTCCTCTTATATAAGACCACATAGGCTTGAATAAATAAGGACGGATCTGTGATGGCATACATTTAACCCCCACCTCCACCTCTCTGCACCTGGGAGAAGTAGCTGCACATCAGGCCAGTGTGGCTGAGTGATTCTGATACACATCCTTAAGTTGACTCTCACCTACCAGGGAGCCATGGAGCCAGAAGGCATATCACTGTGGCAACTCCCCACAACAGACTCAAGCTATGAGCACAGGGCTTCCAGCTCTGAGGTCACATGTAGATCCATCCTTGAAAAAGACATGTGAGTAGATATTCTTCAAAACATTATCATTTTATCTCAGAAAAAACAATCTTCCAACTAAGTGTGGCTCTGCATCAACACAAACTTTGCCATTTAGCTTTGGTGACCATATGTCCCAGTCTGCCCTGAACTGTCCAGGTTAGGCTTATGTAATTATTAGTGGTGCCCCTTTGGGCAGTAAAAGTCATCTCAGATCAAACAATAAATTATATGGTCAGCCTACAGATAGGCCCATTGCAGAAATGAAACAGGCATGAGAGACAAACCAGAGGCAAGTATATTTGGAGATGTTTGCAGTCCTACTGCTCTGGGCGACCTTCCAGACTTTCTTCAATGACTGCAGAAAACACTTAGGAGACTCTCTTAACAATGATCTTAAGTCCAAATAAGTAATTCTCCACTTCAAATGCAGAACTCAGGACAAAGCAAACAGCAGGTCTTCTTCCTTATGATTTCAAGGGTACCCAGAACCATCCAGAGCCTATTCCATATGAAGCACAGTCCTGGATGATAATATGTTGAACTGACCCGTTTTACACAACCAGCTGCAGAATCATCACTTTTGGGAATTTTACTTGTAAATTCTTCCAAAACAATGGTCCCAACTGCCTCTACTACGAGAGCCATATTGAGTGAACTCAGATGCTCAGAGGAAATGTGGCAAATAGCACACAGTGTCAATGATTGTACTAGTCCACTCAACGAATACTTAAACCAAAGATCAAAAGCCACAGCTCATGGATCTCTGAAGCCAACCCTCAGATGTGTATTGCTTGGCCCACAGAAAATTCTTAAATGTTTAAAATATCTCCCAATACTTTAAAATGTGGAGTCATACATAAAAATTCAGATTTCCATTTTCTCTTGGGAAATCAGCAGCTGGGCAGCATGGGGCTTGCATTCCATTCTTGCCATTTCCAACTAGAGCTAAGTAGCACCTTGAGAAAGAACACCCAGTATCCAGTCCTCCAGGGTCCTCACTCAACCCTCCTGCGAGGTACTGTGGTTTGTAACCTCTGATTAATGGTTAGAGATAATCCCTAGGGAGACTATATCTGGCTCTTCCTATTAATGAGCCTCTGGCAGGGATTCTCCATGTTCAGAGCAAATAGGAATTCATATCTTTAGATCAAAGATCAAAGATCTAAAGATATCTGGGAAATGGCAATAAACAGGAAAGTTGGGGTTTTTTCCCCTTTTATCAGAAAGCCTTATGGCCTCCACCACTCCCACTGGATGAAAACTGGATGAAAGGAGGAAAATGAGGCTAAATATGTTAATATTTGTAAAGTAATAGCACATTCGGCCTCAAACTCTTAAATATATAATGGAGGCAAATAAAAGAGTGTTTTTAATTGACCTCTCACCAGTGAGTCCAGGAGGCACTCAATGGCTTCTGTTGAGAATTGAAGGTACATGACCATGAATGAAACCAGCAATAATGCATCATGTATCAGATCTGAAGAAAGTAACTTTAACATAAACCACCACCAACAGTCATGAAACATTCCTTAAAGTCCTGGAAAAAATGCAATTTGTTCCACTTCACCACTAGAACCAGAAAATTTTAATATAATAAAGATGTGATAACTTTCGGAAACTTTCCAGTTTCAACATATGTGAGAGCTAAAAATAAGTTTTGAACAAATGATCCTAAAATGAAATTCATTTAATCATGGTTAGGACTTTGAGATAATCTGTAGTAAAGTATTTTGCCATACATATATATAACAATGATCACAAATTAGAATCGCTCTCTTCACACTGGGAGTTCTGACTGTCAGAATATTAAACTACTTTACAAAGTAACTGATGAAATCTCAGACAATGAACCTTTATTTTCTTCAATTCACCTACAGGCCTTTCGTGAAAAAGCCACTGGACAAACAGTCTTTCAAGTACAGACACAAGAATTATGAAATAAGAAAAAATTAAAGCCTTATTTATAGGATGTTTTTCTCATCTGACTATTATTAATTTCTCAGCTCCCAAAAGAAAGCCACATGGTGCAAACTGAGACTTTTATTTATTTTTATTTAGACACTATTTTTTCAAAGAAGCTAAAGTACTTTGCAAACATTAAATAACCATTTTTAAAACAGCAGGCCAGGCGCGGTGGCTCACGCCTGTAATCCTAGCACTCTGGGAGGCCGAGGCGGGTGGATCGCTCAAGGTCAGGAGTTAGAGACCAGCCTGAGCAAGAGCGAGACCCCATCTCTACTAAAAATAGAAAGAAATTATCTGGACAACTAAATATATATATATAGAAAAAAATTAGCCGGGCATGATGGCGCATGCCTGTAGTCCCAGCTACTCGGGAGGCTGAGGCAGGAGGATCGCTTGAGCCCAGGAGTTTGAGGTTGCTGTGAGCTAGGCTGACGCCACGGCACTAGCCCGGGCAACAAAGCGAGACTCTGTCTCAAAAAAAAAAAAAAAAACAGCATTTTGGGAGCTTTTGACATGGGGTTAAAAACTCTACTTATTAAAGGAAAAAAGCCTGTTTTCAAAGGCACGTTCACTGTAGTAAAGTCTTCCTCTCGTTAGAAAAGGAGTGTATCTGTTTTTATGTAAGTAAAAGTTCACTGTTTGGTAACAACACTTCGATTTAGTAAACTCTGAAGAAACAATATTAGAAACAAAAATGAAAAAATCATTTTTAAAAATATTAGAAGCCTCTTCTACACTGATTTTTAAATCACCCACGTATGTATTGATTCTTCCTCCAGTAAGTGTGTGAAAAACTGCAAAAGGAGACATCTTCCCAGTCAAAATCCAAATGCAGAATCGTACTTTACTGACGATCTGACAATGTCTGGTAACTTTTCCCCAAACCTCGCTCGGAAATCGCCTCCCGGACCGGAGACCTGCAGGTGCTGTGTGACGATGACGCGACCCGGCAAACGGATTAAGGTGCAGGACTCCACGGAGACTGAGAACTAGTGAGCAGCCTCTAGGAACCCAACCTTTTTCTCCTGCGTTCCCTCTTAGACACGCACATACACCCACGCGCGCACCGGCGAAGGCCCGGCAAACAGTCTCCAGTCACACCCCAGACACCGCGCTCCTGGGACGCACGCCTCTCCCCGCGTCCTCCTCAGACGCTCCAGCTCCTCCTCCATCCCGGGACCGCTCTCGGTCTCCCTCTCTCTCCTGCTTCTGCGGGCCGTCTGCTCCTGCCGCTGCCCAGCCCCCGAACACCTTCCCTCCCACTCCCAGGTCCCAGGAGGGGGAACAACCCGAAGCTAAAGCGCGCCACGTGGAACGCGCGCGCCAGCAGCCCGGCCACAGTCGGTCCTTAAAGTGGGGTCCCTGCCCCTCTGGCCGCGCTCCCCATCCCCAGGGCCCGGGCCCGCCCCCGCGCCTCTGAGCCCGGGTCTTGCCTGGTTGGGGTCTGTGGCGCGGAAAACGTGGCAGGCCATCTGCGACTCGGGGTCGTCTGGCTGCGCCTTGATCAGGTAGGCAAAGTAGGTGAGGTCGTGGCTGTTGTGGATGAAGCGCGAGATGTGCTGCGCCTTGTGCTCGAAGATGAACACTGCCGGGTTGGGCTGCGCGGCCGCGGGGCTGGTGCCCCCCGAGGCCCCAGCGCCCGGCGCGGGGACGCAGCGCAGGAAGGGCGCGCTGAGCACCAGGATCACCTCGCGGGCCGCCTGCGCCCCGCAGCCTCCCGCCTCGGGCTTCTGGCTGCGCCGGCGGATCTCAGCCATAAGCCAGGGCAGCATGGGCAGCGTGGTCCTGCGGTCCAGGCACGACCCCCCCACGTACCACAGCCGGAACCGCTTGTCGCCCGGCTTCCCAGCGCCCGGCTCGGGCTCCAGGGGGTGCGGGAACGGCTCATCCTGAATGCAGCTAGGCGGCTCCATAACTCACGCCTCACGAGGGCACCGGGGAGGCCGGCCAGGCGCACCGCGCCCCCAACTCCCGCGCTGAAGGCGCGCCGAAACTGTGCCAAGTGCGGCAGCGGGCACCCGCGCCCGCTCGGAGCGGCGCGACCCCGAACTCCGCGCTTCAGCGGCCCTGCCCCATGCGGCACTTCTCCGGGCGCGGCTCCCAGGCGCCGGCGGCGGGCACCGAGGCGAGTGCCCGGCAGCCAGACGGGCAGCAGAGGACGGGTTAAATGGGCATCCTCCGTTTTCTGGCCCGCGCCTCGGGGCCGGCTGTCCCCGTTCCTCCGCCGCGGGTCTGCAGGGTCAGAGGACAAGGCCGAGGGCCCCAGCCGCCGCCCGCTCCGGCGCTGCAACCCCGCTGCGGCCGCCGCGCTCTCCGCGGGCAGGCTCTGGGAGGCTGGGCGGGGAACGGGGCTGTGGGCGGGAGGGGGCGACTTGGGGCGGAGCTGACTCCTACCAGGGTGACCGGCCGTCACCTGGAAGGTCGGGGCCGCCCGCTGCGGCGCGGTCAGTCCTCGGGAAGGGCCTCCGAGAACTATTCCGATCGAAAATAACCAAAACAAAACGTGGCCTCGCGGGGCCTGTCCTCCCGCCGGCGCTGCAGCCCAGCTCGCTGCTCCTCCTCCTACTGTTCCCGTCCCTCCCTCGCTCCTTCCTTCCTTCCTTCCCCGCAGCTTCTTTAATCGGGCTCTACCCCGCCTCCCGTCCGGCGGGCAGGGAGCGTCGCCTGCAAAAGCTAATCTGTGAAGTGGCCTCTCCGCCTCTTCCTCCGACCCCCGCCCCTGCAACCCGCCCCTGGGGCAGCCGTCCTGAGCCTGGGGCGGGCACTGCTGGGACCAGCCCGGCCTCTCGTGGGTTGCCGCGATCTGTCTTCTCCCGGGCATCTCTGCTGCCCCCTGGAGAGGGGGCCTCTGGCAATGGGGCGCTGGGATTTTTTTTTTTTTTTTCTTGGTTTCAGTTCCTTCTAAAGTCAGCGTGTTGATTTCTGAATTCTCCTTCCTAATAATATCAAAAAAGCCCGTGTTTTAAATCACAATATTATGATAAAGTATTTTTAATCCCAGTTTTCACTTTAAAATATAGCGTGACTATATTAAAATAGACATGTCTTTTCCTAGTTCTTAGTGCAGCCAGCTTCTTAAACTATGGAGAAATTCTATTTTATTTGTTATATATCCCCAGTTCAGAGCTAATGTAGGGATTTCTTATTCTTTTACATGTGGTAATGCACACTTCCAAAGAACTCAAAAAACATGTTAGGGAGAAGTTGACCATTCTCATTTTAAAACAGAAGTATTTCTTTTCCCATTTTAGCAAATTGGACTCATTGTCTCTTTTTACTCTTAATGAACGGTAAGAATTGGATAAGAGGTAAACACAAAATAAATGTGAAAAACACACGTTCCTGACTTTCTTCCAAGTTGCTTAAGAGAAAGAAAGAATGAAAACTCAGGTTTCTCCTTGTTTTTTATTAACGGTGTTCTCACTTTCTATAAAGCCGTGGGACCATTTTTTCCTATTTACATAAGATAAATATGACCAACTACCATTATTTCTATGCTGAATTTCTGGTGGGCACGCTGATGGCTCTCTTATTAATAAGCATCTAGGCTTCAAGATGGTGACATTAATTGATTAGAGTAAATGATTTGGTTACATTTCTTTGAAAACCTTTGTGCAAAATAGACCCATGTCTTCAAGAAGCAATGAAAAGTTCTTGGAATGTAGACTAACACCTTCTAGAACCTCTCCTACACAGAAACTCTCTTACACACTTCCCATTTCTTTAAGGCTACATATCTGAGACGTATAAAACAAGAAAGAAATGAACAAAGATATGGGAAAAGCACAGACGTCTTGTAGATTATGCCAAACCAGCCAGTTTAGGAGCTTGGATTGAATGCAGAGCCCCAGCAGGCCAGTTCTTACTGGCATAGCAAGTAAAGTAGCAAAGAACACACTTTCGCTTATTGACATAAAGACAGGGGAATTGTCTTTTATTCCATGTCATGCTAAGTATGTTTGCTTTCTGCTCTGGAACACTCTTTGCCCTTTCCTTGTAATGTTTCCGTGATGTTTATTTTACCATACGTTTATGAGCATTATAACGGTTGATATCTGATCCTCTCTGCATCCTGACGCTTGGGAAGATAGCTCTTTCCTGCCCCCCTTAAAGTTAGCCACAGTCATACGACTTGTTTTGACAGTGAAGTATGAACAGAAGTGACGTGGGTCAGGTCTAGGTAGAGGCATTTAATTGCCAGTATTCCAGGCTCCAGCTTACTCTTGCTCTCCATCCCACTCTTCCCCTCTGGCAGTCATAGTGGGAACAATATATGCCTAAGGAGGTGCCTCCTGATCGAAGCAGCCGGAATGCTGAGCCAACACACATGGGATGGCTGTCCTGGAGAATCTCCCAGGCCCACGGCAGACTCCTCATAAGTAAGAAATAAACTTTTGGCCAGGCACAGTGGCTCATGCCTATAATCCCACAACTTTGGAAGGCCAAGGCAGGAGGATCAGTTGAAGCCAGGAGTTCCAGACAAGCCTTGAGCAACATAGACAGACCTGTCTCTACAAGAAAAAAGAAAAAATTAGCAGGGGCATATACCTGTAGTACAGCTACTTGGGAGGCTGAAGCAGGCATATCACTTGGCCCAGGAATTTGAGGTTACAGAGAGCTATGATGATGTCATGATGCCACTGTAGCCTGGGCAGCAGAGTGAGATCCTGTCTCAAAAAAAATAAAAATAAAAATAACTTTTGTTCTGTTAAGCCATTGAGATTATGCAGTTGTTCCTTACCTTTTATTAATCTATCGTATCCTATCAAATGAAATTGTTATAGTCTTGTATGTATTAACAGTGTTTTATATAAGTTGTTTTATAATCGTTTATACATTTGACTTAATACATACATGAACTAGATAGGAAGCTATTGAAGCTATTAGCTCCTTACGACCATTGAATCACCTGCAGAACTTTACAGGAATTATGTGCACATAAAAAGTATTCACTTATATATTTGATCACTTGAATTTAGAAAAAGATAAGAGGACAAGATACAACTAAAAAATAGTTAGTAGGTGTGATACAGAATATGCAAGTCTATAATGTTTACTAACCAGTGAGGCAATAAATCAACCTCTGGCCCCTAGCCTTTTTACTCTCAACCTTACCTATCCCCTCGAAAAATGGCCCAAAGAGTGTGCTCATGAAAAACATTTCCAACAAACTGATGGAAATTTCTCCTGAGTAGTTTTGTAGGTACTTCTACCAATGATATCCAAAAGTGAATGGTTATTTTTTTTTTTTTTAAGTGTTCCTGGCTGGGTGGCTCATACCTATAGTCCCAGCACTTTAGGAGGCCAAAGTGAGAGGATCATTGGAGGCCAGGAGTTTGAGACCAGACTGGGCAATATACCAAGACCCATCTGTACAAAAAAAATTCTTAAAAATTAACCGAGCATGATGGTGCATGCCTGTAATCCCAGCTACTTGGGAGACCAAGGCAGGAGGATCACTTGAGCCCAGGAGATCAAGGTTACAGTGAGCTATGATGACACCACTGCACTCTAGCCTGGACAACAGAGCAAGACCCTATATCTAAATAAATAAATAAATAAATAAATAAAATGTTCCTTTAATATCCCAATCTAAATTAATGGGATCAATATTAATTAAAAGTTGTAAGATGCAGTCAAATCCTAATTGAAAAGTTGATGCCACATGAGAAATATAAAGTCCTGAGCTGGGGTGATGGTGTAAGACTGGAAAGATTGGTTATAGTTTCTTACCTTGTTTCCCTGCTCCCAAGCACAAGTATGCTCTCTCGCTCTCATTATCTCTCTCTCATTCTCTATCTCCCCCCTCCTCCATTCTGTGCCCCCACCACATCCACTTTTCTTCTCTGCTTAAAAATCTCTAAAAAAAGGTACATTTCCTAAGCACAAAGCTCAAACCTTTCTAGTTATATTTGCCACTCCCCACTCCCCTATTCTCACATCCAGACAATCTCTTCACTCCCAGACATATTACAGTACATGCTCATGTCTTTATGGAGTTTCACCAGCTTCTTCCTCTCCCTGATTGCCTTCTCTTCCCACTGCCCCCAAACTTGAATTTCCTCCATCCTTAACTACTTGACTGTCCATCCATTCATTCTTCAAGACCCAACTCAAGAGTCATCTTTTCTGTGAAGATATTTCTTACTACCTCAGCCAGAGTTAATGGCCTTCTCTTCTTTGCCCCCTTTTCCATGCATTCCATCCTCATCACATTCTTTATAATATGGGGGTAATTTGTCTGCATTCCTACTACAACCCAGAGTATCTTGAGAAAAGGGATTATTTGTTTTGTCTTGTATTTTCCTTTAGCAGAAAGTACAGTAGCTGACACTTACTACCTACTTAATAAATGTTGAATGAATGATATGGAATTGGATAAATAGCAAATTAGAATTTAAGAAACTAAAGATTAAGAAGGGAGTTTTAATACCACAGAGGTGACATACCAAATGATTTAATTAGCTGATTTCAGGTTATATAGTAAATATATCCACCAGCTAATTATAAAATACTAGAAAATAACAGAATGCATCCCAAACATTGTGATGGAATTCTGACTGGTGATGACAAAGAAAACACAAGCATTTGTGACTGAACAGAATTTTGTGATATTAACAGGGTTTTCCCCCATTGTTCCCTGTGACCTTCCCCTAGCCCAGGCAGCTGGCTGGGGCATTCCGTCTTCTCGCTTCAGGGAATGGATGACACAGCAGAACACAGAGAACAAAAGAGTCCATTCTGAGCTTTCTGGCTTCGAATGCCAAGGACCTGGCAAAGGCAAAAGATTTAGAATATAAGCTCTAAGAGTCGATTTCTCTTGCTATAGATACTAAAGAGAGTTTCCTCAAACTTGGGAGATGGAGAAGAAAAAAGAGAGAATAAGAGAGTTTAGGTCCTATGGATCTCCAGAGAGGGGATCTGGGCTTTGTCTCCCTTAGCTGAGCCAGGGAAGGAGGCCATCAAACCCCAGAGCAGAAGCCTGTGCTGCCCTTTCCTGGAGTAGTCCAGGAAACCTTCAAGACCTTAGCATTTTCCCATGACCATCCTGG